CCCCAAAACCCCAAAACCCCAAAACCCCGTTAGTCGCAGAAATTTCTAGATTTTTAGAAAGAATTAATTGTGTATCCATTGTTGATTAAAAGTATCTTTATAAGATTAAATTAGTATATAAACTCTGCAGAATTTAAAATTAATAATATATTATCAAACTTAAACCCAAATCTTTAACTCAACATGGAAAGAAGAGGAAATTTTCAGTCAGGTACTAACTAATCCAGACAATATGGTATATCTCAAACATTAACTCAATTACCAATAGGCAATCAGTAAAAGAAGCCATACTACAAAGAAGAAGAGTCATACAAGGGCTCTAGCAGACAAGGGAACTACCAAAACTATCAGCAAGTCAACCCTGAAGCAACTTTTAGTCAGGCAAGTCAACCCTTCTACAAACAGTCAAGTCAAGGTTAGAGACCACCCAACAACAACAGAGGAGGCAACAACTAACCAACCTTCGACTCCAGACCAAAGGCAAGCTAATTCTCCTAGACAAAATCATCTCAAGTGAAGTTGATCACCAACCAGTATCAACTTAAGCTAGGCAATGAACTTTCAGTCTATCAATATGACATTTCTATCACTCCAGATGTTATGAATGAGGCCTTCTTGATCAACAATATCCTCAGAGGCATCAAGAAGAGAATTGAGGTTATCTTCGGACTCTATGTCATCTCAGGTAGATCTATCTATTCAACTCACGATCTCGAAGATAACCTCGTCATTGAGACTGAATTTTAGAGCATGAAGTATGTTGTTCTGATCAGTGCTGAGTCTAAGAAGTACTTCTCCGGAAAGAGTATTACCAACTCCAAGATGGAAGATAACAATGTGATCTTCAACTTAATCAATATCATCATCAAGCAAGCCTTCAGAGACACTGACCTCAGACAAATCGGCAAACAGCCTAGATTCTTTGATATTTCTAAGGCAGTCAATGTTGAAGGCTCTGGATTGCAAGCTTGTCCAGGTTTCAGAGCCTCAGCATTCAGCTATCAAACAGGTTTAGCTTTGGTCCTTGATAGCATCAATAAATTCATCTCCAACAAGACTTGCTATGAAAGAATTCAAGAGATCTTTGAATCAGAATACATTAATGATAAGATTAACAAGGTTCTTGAGGAATTCAAATTCAAGTCAGTTATTGGTATGTGGGGCAACAAGAAAGCCTACATTGTGATGGATGTTATCTTTGACAAGAACCCTCTCACTATGTACTTCGTTGATGGCAATGGAAAGAAGATGAGTATTGCTGAGTACTTCTCAACTACCTACAAACTCAAAATAAAGGAAAGAAAACAGCCACTATTTATGGTCAAGATCAATGGTAAGGAATGCTATCTACCCACTGAGTTTTGCACAATTGATGGAGTGCCTTAGCAAATCAGAGAGGACCCAATGAAAATGAGGAATGTGCTTTCATCCTGCAGAAAGAACCCAGACTAGAAGTTCTAAGCCATCCAAGATTTCAGCAAGGATCTCTTCGGCTAAAGAGCTCTTCAAAACTGGGGAATTGAAATTGCTCCTGAACCAATCCATATCACTTCTAAGATTTTACCTCTGCCAAATATTGCTCTTGCTAACGGAGGCTTCTAGAATTGTGATTAGAAAGCTTTGAGAAACTTGCCTGTTCAAAGAGCCAAGAAACTTCAGCAAGAGAGATGGATAATGGTATACGATAACAGGAACTTCAACAATGCTAACAACGTCCTGCAGTAATTCTAACAAGCAAGCAGACAATTGCAAATGAGTGTTGAGGATCCCCTTTGGATCGAGCTAGAAAACTTCAATCGTCCAGATGAGTTTGAGAGTCAGTTGAGAAACCTATTGAAAAAATCTAAGGGAGAGCCATCAATTATTGTCTTGATGCTTACTAATGATAGGCAGTACAAGACTTACAAGAACATTTGCTACAATCTGAACCTGATATCTTAGGTGATTTCTTCAAAGACCGTAAGAAAGATGAATCTCTCTGTTGCCACTAATCTACTCAAGTAAATCAATTCCAAACTGGGAGGAGATTTGTACAACATTGGATTCTCAAAGGAACTTTCAATGAACACTATGCTAATTGGTATCGATGTCTGTCATTCTGGGCCTTAGTCAATAGTTGGATTCTGCGCATCTATCAACAAGGACATGAGTCAGTACTACTCAGAGAAGCTCAACTAGAAGAGAGGGTAGGAGATCGTGGATAAGTAGTTAAAGGATGCTCTAAAGAGAGCAATGAGTTGTTTCTACGACAGATAAGGTGACAACCCAGAGCACTTTATCATTTACAGAGACGGTGTGGGTGATGCAATGAGAAGATAGGTGCTTCAAAAGGAAATTAGCCAGTTCAAGGAAGCCATCAATGAGACCTACAACCTTGCCAAGAAGAAGCCATTCATCACTGTGATCATTGTCAACAAAAGAATCACCCAGAGGTTCTTCGTCGAGGATGGATCTGGCTAGCTTGCTAACCCTCCTTCAGGATGTCTCATTGATGAGCAGATTGTAGAAAACTAAGACTCAAACATCGAGTACGACTTCTATCTAGTGCCTCAGAACACCACCCAAGGCTGCGTCCTTCCAACTCACTTCTATGTGGCTCACAACAACTCGCCTCTCAAGAAGGAAACTATTGAACAGCTGACCTATGATTTGTGTCACTACTACTTCAACTGGGCAGGTCCAATCAAAGTGCCTGCCCCTTGCATGTATGCTCACAAGATCGCTGAACTCTACATGAATATTGGCAAGGATGTCCCCACTAAGAACCTCACATCGAAGGTTTATGAAGTACTTCATTTCCTTTGAGGACGCTGAGTGGATGCTGATTAATTGTATCGAGGGCTTTCAAAGCCAAAGAGTGTAATAATCATAGGCTTAGTAATTTAAAATTATGATGCCATTCTAATTTCACTTAATTTTATTAACTTATTTTATTGTCAATTATTAGTTATATTTTATATGACTCACAATATTTTTCAATTTCTTAGCAACGGGGTTTTGGGGTTTTGGGGTTTTGGGGTTTTGGGG